CATGGGTCGAACCGAGAACTTCCACGTGGCCGTTGGGGTCCAGCTGACGTGTCCTCCGAAGCTATCCTCCATCACATGCCCCCCACTCTCCGGGTTTCGTTGCAATCGGCGAGGGAACCCGAGAGAGTGTATGTACTGTAGGAGAGCGGCGCGGGGTCCCACGTGGAAAAGGTTAGCAGGCCGTTGGTGCCGTTTGGGCTTCACCATCATGAAGGGATGCGCCGTTTCGCCTCCCTAGGCCAAGTGGCGGCCCATCATTGCATCCATTCAAAACCTTCTCTATAAATATCAGCCCTACCCCCTTCATTCCCCACCTCTTAGAGAGAGAAAGTAGGAGATTTCCTTTGCCGTCGCTAGCCTTCTCACCGCCGTTTTCGCCCACCTTCCGGCCCCACCTGCTCGCTCTGAAGGGACCCAGTGGTACAACCTCGGCCTGTTCCGAGCGCAGCAGGTCCTTTCCGACAGGTTCCTCAATGGAGAAGACTTCCTCGAACCGTGCGACAACCCTGATGAGCTCGACACTTCCATCTATTACCCGAGTGGCGGAGACGCGGCCGGCGAGCAGACAGGTGCTAAGTGATGCGACCACCTCCGTGTGTTTTTTTTTGTGTAATGTTGCCCAAGACTTGTTATACTATTGTTTTGAATTCGGCTATGTCATGACTTGTTGCTTTGTATGGATATGCTACGCTTTCTCTTGCCTTTAATGTTACTGCCTTAGTCGTTTCTCTTAACTTGCGTACTCGCCTCCCCCCACCTGGCTTGAGCTCGGCCACGCCGAGGAGAGGCCACCTCGGGACTTGATCCTCTTTGACCCCTCGTTAACCGAGACGGTTGATGGGACTTGACCTTTTGACCTGCCGCCCGTTGGACCGTTCCCATCCTGCCACGTGTACCCCCTCCCCTAGGCGGGATGCCTATATAAGGGAAGGGGCCTTACCATTTGTTTGCTCTCATCACCTTTTTGAATTCTTTCAAACCTTACCATGCCGCGCTCGGCTCCTACTCCCCCCGATTCCAGTGAGGTGCGAGGAGAGACGTTCTCCTTTGGCAGCTATTCCCTTGGGGGCTCTTCGGCCATTCCAACCAAGTCGGGGCCGAGCTCGACCCCGCCGCCCTTACCATGAGACTCATGGGACTCGGACTTTGATTCTGAGTCGGTGTACCCCGATCCTTCTGCCAAAATCCCGGGTTTCATCTACTACTCGTCGGAGGAGGACGAGAAGACCCCCCCTCCGCCAGTTCGTCGTGAGCTCCCCCCTCCCCCCGGTTGCTGCCGGCCGTGGGGGTCGAGGACGTCGCCCTCCAGCTCCTCCGGCAGCGGACACGAGCGAGAGCTCCGTGGCGTCTCACCATCCGAGCCGGCAATCACTTGAAGACCCGGGCTCGCCCAGCTTCGCCGAATCTACCGGTCATTCTGTTGCCATTAGGGCTCCTTCTCCGCCCTCTTACCCCCCCACCTTGCCCTTGCGAGCGTGGGTGGAACTGTGGCATGCACTGAAGTTTACCCGTTCTTTGATGATTTGTAATGCGTCTAATTATTGTAAGGCGTTTGTGCCATGCACTTGCCCGTTTTTCGGGATGAATAAAATTTGGATGTGATTAAGTCTTGCTTTCACTTTTCGCCCTTAGCTTTAAGAGTTGCGCTCGGCTCTTCCATGAGGAGGAGTGCCGAGCACGAAGGTTAGACCTTTATCCAGGAAGAGCATTCGGACATGGTCTGCGCTCGGCTCTTCCCCTGAGGGGGAGTACCGAGCACGGAGGTTAGACCTTTATCCGGGAAGAGTATCTGGACATGGTCTGCGCTCGGCTCTCCCCTTGAGGGGGAGTGCCGAGCATGAGTGTTTGACCTCCATCCGGGAAAAACGTCCGGGTATGGTCTGTGCTCGGCTCTTCCCCTGAGGAGGAGTGCCGAGCACGAAGGTTAGACCTTTATCCGGGAAGAGCCTCCGGAGATGGTCTACGCTCGGCTCTTCCCCCGAGGGGGAATGCCGAGTACGAAGGTTTCTCCATCCGGGAAAAACGTTCGGATATGGTCTGTGCTCGGCTCTTCCCCTGAGGAGGAGTGCCGAGCACGAAGGTTAGACCTTTATCCGGGAAGAGCATCCGGCCATGGTCTGCGCTCGGCTCTTCCCCTGAGAGAGAGAGAGAGAGAGCCGAGCACGCCTGTTAGACCTTGTTTGCAAAAAAAAAATTCCATTTCATTGAATTCAATCATGGTGTTGCGGGTTCCCATTTTCGGGCCCGTGTACATTCGAAATCTATTGATAAAACTTAATCAAGTTCTCGGCATTCCAAGTCCTGGGCACATCCCCTCCACTCGGGGTCTGCAGGCGGAACGTCGAGGGGCCTACCACTTCTTTGATGATGTAGGGGCCTTCGTAATTCTTGGCAAATTTTCCACCTTCTAGGGGGCGGCTTACGGACCTCTTGCGCAGCACCCAGTCTCCTTCGGTGAACCCCCGTGCGTGCACACGCCCGTCATGGTAGCTCTTCACCTTCCTTCGGTAATTTTCAGCCCGTATGAAGGCCGCTTCTCGCCTCTCGTGTACGAGATGAAGCTCGGCTGCCAGGGCTTCTTCGTTACGCTCAGGGTCGAAGATTTCCTCCCGGTGAGTAGCGATGGAGATATCCGCAGGAGCCCTCGCCTCGAATCCGTAGCACAAGGCGAAGGGGGTTTCCCCGGTCGCCCTCCTAAGCGTGGTCCGGTAGGTCCATAGGATGTAGGGCAGCTCCTCTGCCCACTCCCCTCCACAAGCTTCCAATTTCCGCTTCAGGCCATCAATTATCGTTCGGTTGGCGTTCTCGACCTGACCATTTGTTTGAGGGTACCCGACCGATGCATAGCTGTGCTTGATCCCCCAACTCTCAAGGAAGGCGTTGAACGGCTTGGACTCGAATTGCGTCCCATTGTCTGTGATTATGTGCTCAGGAACGCCGAAGCGGCAGATGACTTGCTTTGCGAGGAACTTCAGGCATTGCGCTCCGGTGATGCTTGCCAGTGGGGCTGCTTCTACCCACTTAGTGAAATAGTCGATGGCTACAATGACGTACCTTACGCTCCCGGTGCCCCTAGGAAGCGCACCCACGAGGTCTACTCCCCACCGTGCGAACGGAATAGCCGTGCTGATGGGGGTGTAGTTTGTCGAAGGCCTCCCTGGTACCTTCTGGAACTCTTGGCACACTTTACACTTCTTTACGAACTCCGCGCAATCCTTAACAATTGTTGGCCAAAAATATCCTTGGAGAGTTATCTTCCTTGACACCGCGTAAGCCCCCTGGTGGGCGGAGCAGATTCTGGCGTGCACCTCCTCCATAACCTGCTTTGCTTCAGTTGGTCTAAGGCACCTGAGTAGCGTCCCGTTGTACGCTCGCTTGTATAGCTTCTCGCCTTCCAATGTATACCCCGGTGCCCTCATCCGGACCAACTTGGCTTTCACTACGTCGCCTGGGAGGGCGCCATCCTTTAGGAAGGCAATTATGTCGTCCGTCCAATCTCTGGGCTGAGCGCAAATCATCGCTACCGGGAAGGCATGGATGCTCGGCTCGGACAGTTCTTCCATGCTCGCCATACCCCGGATGTGTTCGGGCGTGTCCGAGCTCAGCTTCGACAAGATGTCCGCCTCGGCATTCTCTGCTCGCGGGATCTGCTCGACACTATATGCGGTGAAGCTTTTTAGTAGCTCTAGCGCCGTATCTCTGTATTTCTTCATTCTTTCGTCCTTTGCCTCGAACTCTCCTGAGACGTGGCCCACCACCAGCTTCGAATCACACTTTATTCTTAGCTTTGTCGCGTTCATCCCGGCTGCTAGGCGTAACCCGCATAGGAGCGCTTCATATTCCGCCTCGTTGTTCGATGCCTTGAAACCGAACCGAATTGAATAGTACGCTCTGAAGCCTTCGGGGGCGATGACCACCACTCCACCCCCCGAGTTTTTGGCGGCGGAGGAGCCGTCGGTAAAAACTGTCCACCAGTCATCGGTTTCAAGTTCTGGGCTCGGCTCTTCTCGAGCTGTACACTCTACTACGAAGTCGGCCAACGCTTGCCCCTTGATCGCCGGCCTTGGCTTGAACTCGATCTGGAAGGCTCCAAGGAACACCGCCCACTTGGACATGCGAGAGGGCGCGTTCGGACTCCTGAGCAGCGCACCTATGGGCTGTTGGGAGAGCACTTGAACCGGGTGAGCTTGGAAGTAGGGCGTCAACCGCTGCACGGTGGACACTACAGCAAGGACCGTCTTTTCGGCCACGGAGTACCTGAGCTCGGCACCCCTTAATGTCTTCGCTGTGTAGTACACTGGGTGTTGAGCTCCGCCATCTTCTCGGACTAGGACCGAGCTTAGCGCTTTGGGCGACACTCCCAAGTAAAGATACAAAGTCTCCCCGGGCTCGGGCTTGGCGAGGACCGGGGGAGAGAGGAGATAAGATTTCAGAGATTCAAAGGATTGTTGGCAGTCTTCCGTCCATACGAACCCCCGAGACTTCTTCACGGCTTGGAAAAAGGGAGCGGCTCGGTCCGCCACTTTGGATAGGAAACGGCTGAGCGCCGCCAACTTCCCGGTCAGGCGCTGCACCTCCTTGACATTTCGTGGGGCCTCCATGTCAAGAATGGCGCGCACCTTCTCGGGGTTGGGCTCGATACCGCGCCTGCTCACCATGTGCCCTAAGAACTTGCCGCCTTGAACTCCGAACGTGCATTTCTTCGGGTTCAGCCGAAGGTTGTACCTCTCCATAATCTTAAAAACTCCTTCTAAGTCTTCTGCATGGGTAGCCGCCTGCTTGCTCTTCACAATCATATCGTCGACGTATGCTTCCATGCTCTTCCCGAGGACGGGCGCGAAGAGCTTGCTCACCATCCTAGCGTAGGTTGCCCCGGCGTTCTTGAGTCCAAAAGGCATGACCTTGTAGCAATAAACTCCGCCGGGAGTAGTGAAAGACGTCTTCTCTTCGTCTTCAGGGTGCATTCGGATTTGGTGGTACCCGCTGAAGGCGTCCATGAAACTCATGAGCTCGCAACCCGCCGTCTCGTCTACCAGCTGATCAATATTCGGGAGTGGGAATGGATCCATAGGGCATGCCTTATTGAGGTCGGTGTAGTCTACACACATCCTCCAAGTGCTTCCCTTTGGAGCCAACACCATGTTCGCCATCCACTCCGGGTACTTGACTTCTCTGATATGCCCGATGCTCTGGAGGGTGGCGACTTCCTTGGAGACAAACTCCCTCCGCTCGGACGAGAGGAAACGCTTCTTCTGCCTTACCGGCCTAGACTCCGGATTGACTGCTAGGCGGTGACATATGATCTTGGGGTCCACACCCGGCATGTCTTCTGGCCCCCACGCGAAGATCACACGGTAGGTGGCGAGCACGTCCACCAGGCGTTTCCGCTGGCTCCTCGTTAGGCTCGCCCCAATTTTAACCCTCCGCTCGGGTGCCCGCGGGTCGAGCGGTACTTCCTCGACTTCCTCGGCGGGCTCGGCCTTCGGTCGTGCTTCCATCTTGCGCATTTCCTCCTGCGCGTTCACGACCAGTGTCTCATCTCTTGGCAACTTCTTTGTGATCCGGACGTAGCACGACCGGGCTAACCTCTGGTCTCCCCTCGCCACCCCGATCCCGGACGGGGTGGGGAACTTCATGCACAAGTAGTACGGGGAGATCACACATTCCAAGTCCTCAAGGCCGGGCCGTCCCAGGATCATGTTGTGCGCGCAATTGATGCTCACAACCATGAACTCCATCTTCAACCTGGCCTTGTGCGCACCATCCCCTATTATTGCAGGCACGGTGATGACTCCTTCGGCCTCGATGGAGTCCCCCGTGAACCCGGAGAGGGGAGTGCGCACGGGCTTCAAGTCCTTGCGATCCAAGCCGAGGTCTTGGAAAGTCTTCTCATACATTATGTTAACTGAGCTTCCCGTGTCCACCAAGGTGCGGTGAGCTATGGCATTGTTAATCTCCATCTTCACGACTAAGGCATCCCGGTGGGGGCTTGGCGTGTTCGGAAGATCCTTCTCCGTGAATTGGATCTGCTCTCGTCTTCCGAGCTTGGGCACCGGCGCTTGATGGACCTTGGCGACAAAAGCCATGTGCTTCCACCTCTTCCTTTGAGCGACGGAGTCCCCGCCAATGTTTCCCCCATGGATAAATCCCACCGGATATCCTTGGGCTTCGTCCTCGTCTAGATCGTCGCACTCCCGCCCGATGTGCCTCTTCTCGGGGTTCCTTGCCTGTGTCGCCACTGCGACTGGCTCAGTCGGCTTCCTCCAAGTTCTTCCTTCCGGCGGCCCCCGGGAGGGGGTAACGGCATCGTCTCGCGGAGGTGGCCCTCGGGCGATGAGTCGCTGCATTTCCTTCTGAAGAGTGAAGCACTCCTTAGTGTTATGAGTGTTGTTGCGATGGTACTCGCAATACTTGGCTCCGCTAGCCACCGCGTAAGCCTCTACGTGAGGGAGCGGGGAGAGGGCAAGCTCTCGACCCGTCCCCACGGGGGCGCCCACGGAGTACACTCCGGCCGAGGGCGTCCTCGGGCCCGCGGTATAGTCTTTCTTCTTCTTCCTCTTCTTCGCAGTCTCTCCCGAGTCCACTGGAGCTCGCTTAGCCGGCGCGGCCTCGGAGTCTAGGACGTCGTCGAACTCCTCCGAGGCTAAGAACTTCACGCGCGCCAAGGTCTCTTGGTACGTGGGGGGAGGGTTCTTGCGGAGCTCCTTCCTCACCTCTCCGTGGGGAAGGGCTGCTTGGAACATGGCAACCAACGCTTGGTCATCCGCCCCATACACGTCTCTGGCTTCCTTCTCCCACCGGACTATGAAGTCGCGGACCTTTTCTCCCTTGCGGATGCATATGTTGAGCAGGTGGGAGTAAGGTAGCCTCTGCCTTCGATTAGCCGCGAAATGCGTCAAGAACTTCTCCGCCAGCGTATCCCAATCGTCAATGGTTCCCTTCGGGAGCCGGTTGAACCAATCGCACGCGGAGCCCTCCAGCGTCGCGAGAAAGCATCGGCACTTGACCTCGTCCGGGGCTGCCGCCGCTTCCATAGAAGCGTAGAACTTGGACAAATGATCTTGGGGGTCCGTCGTTCCGTTGTAGGTCTTGATCTGCCACGGCCGAAAGTTTGCCGGTAGTGGAATCGACATGACCCTCGGAGTGAACGGGGTCACCGTCCGCAAGATAGGCTGGCTGTAGGGGGCTCTGGTCTCCACTCGGCGCTTTAGCTCGGCAATTTCACGAGCGAGCCGAGATACCCCTTGGTCAGAGACTTTCGTCTTCTCAGTTCTCGTCGGACTATGGCGTCGCTGGGTGCCCTCGTCCCTCCTCTCTCCGCTCCGCTCGGGCCTCGCCGAGCGGGCATCCGATGTTGTCGACTTCTTAGCATGCCTCCGCCTACTTTCGTTTATTTGTCGGCGGAGGTCGCCCATGCGACCATCCGGTCTGCGGTCGAGCCTGTCGAAGGCCGATACCCGGGTCTCTTCGCCTCCCAAGCGTCTGAAGGCTGACACCCAGCCCTCGCTGGATTCATCCTCTTCTCCTTCCGGAACGTCCTCCACAATCACTTCCTCGATCGCCGGGGCCTTGCAGGGCCTCCTTCTACTCCTCCTGGTCTTCTTCCCCTTGTGCTGGGAAGTGGCAGCGTGCTCGGCGTGGGGGCCGGGCGGAGCTTTTCCTGCTCCGGCGCCGGGCACGTTTCCACCCATGGCGGAAAGTGCCGCAACGGCCGCCTGAAGCTGCTCTGTGGTCACTCCCAGGCCGAATAGCGCCTGGACCGCATCCGGAGTCGAGCCGATGCCTCCCGTGCCGTTGCCGCTGCCCGGCGCGTTCTCTTCGCCACCGACGTGACTGGTGGTAGGGACGTTGCTCCTTGTTTGCACCATTCTCGCGTCCGGGAGTTAACCTACGAGTATGTTCCTCTCCTCTCAATGAAAGCACCAATTTGATGGCTATAAACCACCGAGAGTATAAAATAATAGAAGTTTTAGAGAGAGAGAATGCAAAGTAGGAGTATATTGATCTCAAATTCCAATCCATTACAATGAGGGCTCTTGCCCCTTTTATAGGGGATACAATACATATGGTCAAAGTCCCCTGATCGAGGCTCGTCGCCTAGTGGACGTCATCTCTGTCATGAGTTGTCCTTTTCATCCTATCGCTATCGCACAGTCAACGCGGCCAGTCGCTATCCGCCGGTCGCTATCACGTATGTCGCTGTCCCGCCTATAGCCGAGCCCCTGGGGCGAGCCGAGCTCACAGGGTGAGCCGGGCTCACTGGGCGAGCCGAGCCCATGGGTCGAACCGAGAACTTCCACGTGGCCGTTGGGGTCCAACTGACGTGTCCTCCGAAGCTATCCTCCATCACCGGGTATATTTTAAATATATATTTTTTATTTTTAAATTGTACACTTATAACTCAATAAATTGAATTGAAAACAAAAAACATCAATCAATCCTCATAAACCAAAACGGGGAAGAATATTTTAGGGTGGAGTAATTATTATTACTGCGTATTAATAAAAAAACTCATTGTCAAGTGACAACTACATCCAAAACCATGAAGAAGGGTTGGAAACCCATTCTCTGAGACAAAAACCGCGGTTCCGTATGTTTGTGCTAAATGCTTTCCACAAAGCCCCCCAAAAAGGTTTTACAAATCAACAACATACAATGTGTGAAAAAAACAATTTCATCTTTAGTTGTCAACCACCTCAATCAATGTGCACTCATAGTCATCTGGCGCTTCAAATCCGTGCAGATTCATAACCGTTGCAGCGACATTAGCAAGACCACCTGTTGGGACATCTCGCCGAAATCTCACTCCTTTGCTCAACCCGGGCCCACCCATCGCGATAGGTACCTTAAAAAACAAAAACATGAGCCATCTCCTCTCAATTTTCAATCATTTCAGACAAAAAAACAATGCATGCACTACTTCCAAGTTTGCCCTTGTAGTAGGTGGAGTAGTGAGGTAAAAGAACAACTACGTTTAGGAACGTGGCAGAGAGAAAGGTATGAGTATTGTTGTAGTTGCTTACCGGTTCACAAGTGTGAGAAGTGAGGATCTGGATGTTTCCATTCTTGTCAAGAAGTGGCTCCCCCTTCTTGTTCCTCTTCACCATGTCTTCTGCATTTCCATGATCTGCAGTTACAACATAAATTCCACCAACTTGTTCTATTGCATCAATTATCATCTGCAAACAAAAACCCATAAAAAAAAGCTCTCAAAACCACCAATTACATAGAAGGGAAGAAAACAGTCAAATTTAAATGACCATGATACTTGTGCTTCTATAGTTGCAAATAACCATTTAGATTTCATGCAAGACTATGTTAGGACTTAGTCTCTAGATGTAAAAATAAAATCAAACTACCATTTATCAGTCAGAACAGATAAGCCAGTTTATATTTAGAACTCCAACATAAGGGTTAATGCAAGAAAAAAAACAGAGCGTAAAGATGAAGAAACCCTTGAAAAGTTGATCAATTTACCTTGACAGCTTGATCGGCAGACTTGCAAGCTTCAATAGTTGCCTTAATGTCACCAGTATGCCCCACCATGTCACCATTTGGAATGTTAACACGTACCTACAACACCAAACAAACTACGGTTAGAAGACACTTTTCGCCAAACTCTGTTGCCTTTTGTGTGGATTTATCTACCTGGTCAAATTTGCGGCTAAGAATAGCATCTCTAGCCTTTTCACCAATCTCTGTTGCCTTCATTTTAGGCTGGACATTGAATGTTATCCCAACATCACTTGGAATCTCAACGTATTCTTCCAAATCAGCATTAAAATATCCAGACCGATTCCCGTTCCAGAAAAAAGTGACATGTCCAAATTTAACTGTTTCACTGTCCAAGAACAGAGACATGCATAATTAATAACTCAAAACTACGTATTTTATACCAAGAGAATACTTTCTACACCAAAGGAGGCCCATAATTCTATTTTGATCCGTTCCATAGAGCTATTTCAGTTTTTTGGGTGCATTCAATTTTTTATTTCCAAGTTAACACATAATCATCAACATCCAAAATTAAATATGGAGTACTATAACATACGGAGTACTTGCATAGGAAACTGATAACTTTACAATTTACAAAGGGTGAAAATGAGATATGCACTGTTCCGAAACCTAGCAATCATTTATTAAATTGTGTGCACCAAAAAGATAACGAACTAGATTTATGGGATGTAGGGATTATTAAATAAGAAAACAAGACAAGACAAGCATGGGATTACTCTACCAAAAGGAATGTCTCACGTCTCGCCTGTTTTTCTAAACGGATGGCGAGTAAAGAGGACAAAAGTAATGAAAATGCAATGTACTCCGTATTAAATTAATAAACCAAATTCAACACTAGAGAAGAGTCAAGAGTGTTCTTGAGGGGCTATGAGAGTTCTCTCTATATACTCTTGTCCTATCCTTAATTTCTGTTTGTCATTTATTTTTATATATTGCCCTTTTTATTGTTTTTGTCAGTTTACTCCCTATAAGTATAAACTGGAAACCTTGATATGTGTCACACACACATGAGGAAACATGTTATCCAAAAGGTTCGCGAAAACTTATCATTGATCAAGATTTCAGATCTTGATATGCTACAGGAAGAGGAGACTCATCTTTAAAAAGATTCTAACATTATAATTTCATGATATTTCCACAGATAAAAATTGATAGATAAATCACTTGTAAATATTCATAAATGGCGAGGGACAGTTTTGTAAATAATCTAGTCAAAATGGAGAAATGAAAAAATTTGCTTAAAAATATGTAGTTAAGACCTACTTATTTTTTTGGCTTATAAGCAGCTTATAAATCAGTTTATAAGCACACAGAAACATGTCATCAACTGACTTATAACTTAAAAACTGCTTATAAGCAATTTTGACCAGCTTATAAGCACCGAGAAACACCCACAAAATGTGGCCTTACAACGGCAATAAAAGAGACACAAAAACATATATAAATGGAATGAATGAGACCAGCTTACAATGTAATATCCTAAATAGAAAACTTACCTACAAGCAAAAGTACGAACGCCATTACGCACAAGGTATTCCCCAGAAGTTCTGTCAATTTCAGGAGGAGAAACAAGATAATGGCTTGGAAGCTTCAACTCCCCATCATATTGCAGCATCCCAGCATACCTGATTTTAGGGAACCGAACACGATCAAATTTATCAAAATTTTCATATTCAAGGGCCTTTGCTAGCATAACCATCCGATCTGCCCGGAAGTTGATGGTTACGACAGCATCACCATCTATGATGGGCCCAACAGGCTTCCCATTTTCATCAACAATGACAAATGGTTGCAAGTACTGATCATTTGCACCGGGAACCTCCCTCAGCTTCTTGACTGCTTCAAGAGCATTTGTAAACTTGTTTGGAGCTTCACCAAGAACTTGGGCATCCCAACCTCGTTTTACAACATCCCAATCATTCTGCACAACGTCAAGTGTTACTCAGTGCTTGCTTCTTTTAGATGAGACTTGAGAGGGATGGGAGGTTTTTATAAATGAAGATTGAAGAAAAAGATTTATTGAAGGCACAAAAAGGCCATAAGTGTGCATTTGGCATGCTACGCTTTCAGCTTACTAGCCTTATCATCGAGATTTGTCCACCAGACAACTAATTATGTTTCAATGAGATGGCTAAATCAGCTTATAATGAATAAATTAGTGCACATCATCGTTTTATTCCTGATATTGAAACTCATGCCTATTTTAAAAATTAATTTAACCAATTAATTACAAAATTATTTTTTTGACAAATTTAGTCATTTCAACCACAACTTCAGCAGAATGAAGCACTTCAAGTATTAGCAAAAAAAATCTCTTACAAACAAGAGTAACAATAGTATGGCAAACATCCTTAAGAACATTTACCTCATATCGATCCATTGTCACATACATGCGACCTCCGCCTGATGCAACCTGGGCATCAATACCTTTTCCGCGTAATTTTGCAAGATCATTCTCAAGAGTTTCCATAAATCCTACACTTGAACCATCAAGAACATCACGCCCATCCGTTAATGCGTGGACACGAATCCTTTTGGCACCACGCTCCGCAGCCCCTTTCACCAACAACTGCACGAGAATAGTATTATAGGATATGTAGTAGGATAAACCATGTTCTTTTGTTCAACATCAAAAGGCAAGGGTTGATCAAAACATTATACTCCTTCCATCCCAAATAAACACTTTCTTTTTCAGTCCGTCACAAAATAAAAGTTTATTTCTTTGTAAAGAATATATGGCCACCATTATTTTTCTCTTTCAAATCAATTACAGCCACACACTTTTCACTTTCAACATTTTTCTTAAACTCAATGTCAGCTCAAAATGGATCTTTTATTTGGAATTGAAGGAGTAAACCATCAAATTCTCCAGGAATATCAAAAGACGGGAGAAGGAAATTACGGATATGCAAAATATGTATTTATGCTCTAGATACCACAACAATAATTCAATATGGAGTTTAGAGAGATACCAGCAATTGATCGAGCCTGGAGTGGACACCTCCATCACTCAATAGCCCAATTAAATGCAGAGTTCCAGCTTCAAAGCTTTGTTTAATGAAATTGAAACCTTCTCCATCATAGATTTTTCCAGAAGCAAGGGCCAAATCAACAAGCTTTGCACTGCAGATAAAAATTGGGGGAAAACATTGACTTGCACAGAAAAAAAGATGAAGTATTGAAAATAAACAACGCCATTCAAGTTAAATTCTTAAGCAAGTATGACTAACAAGAAATATCTACAACTGAAAGATACTTCTAATACAGTTCAGCTATCCAGATTCCAGACCAATGTGAAGTAACTTAATTGGTTAAAGGAAAATACTGTAAAACTGCAGAGTACTACTCATCATAGAACTGAGGTAAATCTTTCCGGCTGCAGTAAAATACTGAGACAAAAAGTAGAGGAAAAAAGGCAAGACCAAAATTCATCTTTATCTTTGGTTTTAAAGCTGAAACTAGGACTCTTTTCAGTTCTAGAGTGGTGGGTGTGTCTGTGTATTGTATGCATCCATATAGCCTTGTTATGCACATATTAATATGAAAAGGGTAAAATGAAGGGTCATAATAAAATGAGCAGACCCCTGGGCAAAGATCCTTCCGGCACCAAGGGCATTGTGGCCAACCTCGCTATTGCCCATGTCATCTTCTGTGGGAAGCCCCACTGCATTACCGTGCGCCTTGATCAACCTCCATGTATCCGGATTACCCTTGACACATTCCCACAACAAAAAGCCATTACATTACAGTTTATGTAGTCACAGACATACATAAATTCAGGAAGCACATATTGATTTTTAAGGAACAGAATGAATGAAGGAACATCCCCATTCGGCAAATAAATCAGAAAAAAAAGGATTAAGAAACTTGAAGGACAAAACAGAGAATAAGAAGAAACAGAAACCTGTTTGAGAGAATCCATGGTGGGAGTTTCAGCAACGTGAATAGCGTTGTACTCATTGGCCTTAGCCTCGCCCCATCCGTCCAAGACAATCAAAGCGATGGTTTTCCCCTTGGGAAGCTTGGGGTGGTCTTTCAATTCCCATGAGATTCCAGAGCTACCCATGTCCCCTTGGATCTTCTTCTTTCTCTCCCTTAGATCTGACCGCTTCAGTACAAAAGGCAAAGACCAAGAAGCACAAAACGTTAGACCATTTATACGAGCTTCCTACAGAAATAACCTAATCGATGGAATCGAGGAGGAGAATAAACCTTTGGGAATCAGAGGCGCAAGCAAACGAAAACCAGCGGGCGAGGAAATGGGAGTCGGAGAAACGGACGTATATAGACTCTTTTTAAACAACACAAGAGACCCTCAAGGTACTAGTTCACTCGTTGGTCAAAACTCTATCTAATACTCCATCCCTACCAAAATATTCGTTCAGTTTTGACTTTTGGAATTATTCATCTAAGCACTTTGACTCATCAAATTCTCTCAATGTGTAAGCCTAAATATAGTCATGTGTGACCTTGTTTGATTTGTCTTAATATATAGATTATTAATATATAATTTCTATAATTTTTTAATATACAATTTACAAGATAAAATGGATTAAAGAAGTGTATTTGATGGTGTGTAAGAATGAAAGTGGACAAATATTCTGGGACGGAGGAAGTAGCTTCTAATCTCTATTGAACAAAAATTTTAAAACATGGCAGGTACATCTTTGGTGTAGAAGTCTTCTCATAGCGCTGCTAGGGGGCAAATTTTTCTAAGTTTAGAAATGACAACAGTATTATTAGTAGCATTATCGAAACCAAATGCAAATACTTTATCAAATAAATTGTATTCTTAGAGAATACGCTCAAGCAAAAGAAAAAATATTATCACCTCTATGAGATTCATTGAAATCACGAAATGCAAGAATACGTTTATGCATAATTTAATAACTATCTATTCAATGACATGTAACATTCATATAAGACAAATTATGATATGTTTCACTTCAAATATCAAAATAAATAGTAACACAAAAATTAAAAGTGAAAAAAAAATTTGCCAAATTAATTTTTTCAACTTTATATTGTCCAATAATTTCTTTCTTAATTGTTTTTCTTGAAAACCTCTTGCTTGAGGGTTTAGTGCGGTTTGATAATGATCAATAAATCCAAGTTTTTCAGAAAACATGTATGGTAAATTTTTCTCACAAATCATTTCGGCCATTTTTTTCGTATTTTGCTTATCGCTATATCCAAAAAGTCGACCTTATCCTTCTTTGCAAATCAAAAAATTTGGGTCTGCACTTGTCCCTTCTTCGCCATGGATTTGGCGTATTTCACAGGGTGCCTCGCTCTTACGTGTTTGGTCGATCCACCATAATCCCCGGAAATTCCATTTTTATTATTGCCTCACAATAAAGACAAGTTCTAAAAATTTTGCCATTTTTTGTATCTTTTGAAAAATGGTATACAAATAAATCATATTTAGGTTTTTTACTTTTTACTGGACTTTCAGAGGTCTGGAGCTCACATATCTCCTCCTTGGTAGGATTGTTTCTCTCGGGTGTACGGTGGTTCCACCTCCTCTCCAACGTCCTCGAATATATCTTCAAGAGTTTGAAGATTGGCGTCATTCCTACTCCCAAATACTGGTCGAATTCTCTATTAGTCATAGCATCACCCATGAATTGATGGGAGATTGTAGGAAAGGAAGAGATAGAGTACGTGCCTCCCGCCCTCCCCCTTCCCCAACTTCTCCATAAAATTTGTTTATGTGGTTGAAAATGTCAAAAGAAAATCTTAAAATTAGGGAGTACATTTAATCGATAAAAACAGTCAATCTAATATTATCACTCTCTACCATCCAAAGTAAACAAGCCCCAATGGAAACACAGGAGCGCACATATAATTGTTCTTCAGGAAGCATAAAGCTACTCTCCCTTTACAGTTTCCAAGTACAAAAAACAATGCTATATCCTGAATGAATATGGCACCACATCTTGCTTGTTATACACCTATACATCAAAATATAATTTCATCTACTTTCTAACATAAACTAAAACAGAGTAATATTTTATTGGAAATGTTTTCAGGCAGGAACGATTTTCGCCATCAGACGAGACTGCTCCGGTCTTCCAAAACATTAAAACCCTTGGAAAGAATAGGAAAGGATCTTGAACAAACCATCAGGGTTATCAGCATGCACCTGCAAAAACATCAATATATATCACTGAAATGAGACAACGAAAAACTGTGATTTTAAGTCAGAACTAAACTAAGTTCCAGTTTTTGCTTTTGTTTTACCAAGATGCAGTTTGAAAGAATTCCCAGGATAAAATAATAGGATAAAGCTATTTGTACCCCATTTTGAACACCGCATGGATGCACCAACATTTTGTGTTGGTGTAATGCTAATTTTTGTTAACGCACTAACACTTTGTGTCAGTTTAAATTTTTGTTAACGCACCAACACTTTGTGTGGACCATCAAAATGTTGGTGCATATCTTTGGTGTACAAATGGAGTACAAATTTTGGGGTACATGTAGCATGCTCCTAATAGATAATAAACAAAAAAGCTAATAATATGGCAGCACAGTTTGAGAGTTGCACAACAAACCCAATGGCCAGCATCTTCCAAAACATGCATCTCTACTCCACCTCCCTCCTTGTAAGCTTGCTCCTCTGCGGAATGGATCCTACGAATGTCTTCAAGTGCCCACCTGTGCAAACTCCTCTCTGCCTTCAAAAAGCTGACATGTACACCTCGTGGCACATCTTCCACCAGTTTCCTAAAAACAATGCTTATAAAATCATATGTCTATTCCTATCTTTTTTTAATGCACATGTACTCCTTCCATCCCATCCCAACCCATACGTCCGTGTCTAAACTTATATTTGTCCCCAAAAAAGTCCGGATTGAAAATAAGATAAAGTTGAACGGGTTTGATTTCTTTTTAAAGTGTCCTTAAAATAGTAACAAATTGAATATGTTAAATGTAGCCAAACCTTAAACTCTAAAACATAGTTATATATGGTGGTTTCTAATAGTTGTACACATGTACTTGTACCTTACTAAAATTAATATTTTGTACGGTTGTGAAATATGATTTTTCTATGGGATAGGGGGAGACTTAAACATGTAAAATAAGGACTGTGTTTGTTACGAAGTACTCCGTATTGACTTATATACAACAACAATCAAGTATAATCCCAATTGTATTGGGGTCAATGGGGTTATGATGTATGTAACCTTACCCAATAAAAAAGCAAAGATCTTCCAGTTACACTCTTCATGCATTTATTCTCCAAATTTCATACTCCCTCCGTTTTTGAAACCCGTTCTTCTTTCATTTTTTCATTTTCAACAAAACATTTCCACTTTTGAACAAAATGACTAATATATCCAAATAAAGTCATTGCAATATACTCCATTTATTTTGCATTATATAATATGTTATTTAAGTGATTTGTCTCTCTTTTCTCTTCAATGCTAAAGATATAACTAGAAAGTCAAATTGCAAAAATAAAGATTTTAAAACTCAAAACAGGAACTGTTTTAAAAAAACGCAGGGAGTACAAAGTAAGAAACATTTGAAGCTTAATGTGTCATTTTGATTTAGTCCATTATTTACCTGAAGCTAAAACATTGTCAAATATGACTATTTAAACATTAAGATATGCAATAAAAAATTAAAAATTAATGATATTGTATCCAACAATTCAATCAAGTAGGATATCTAACCACATATTTGTTTCTTCATATGATTGATACATCTCAGCAATCCCCTTAAGATCAAACACCCACGAAAAGCTTGATGGGGATGTGCCGGGGAGGTTGGTTTGCCGAAGGTTTGTCACCACCCACTGAAAATCATTACCAAAAGTTTGAAAAACAGGGAAATGAGAACACACACACACACACACATATATACATGTGTGTGTGTGTGTGTGTGTCTTTAAGATTCATTTATTTAATGAAAACAAAACTAGGTAAGGCTTATTCATACCTGTGCCACATCTTTGGAGAAGCCATGCTTAACAAGAGCTTCCACAACATCTCGTTTAGAAGAAACCTTCCTTGAAGAATGATTTTCATGTGCAAAAACACATTTTTTAAAATCGATATGAATATGTGATAACTTTAATGTTCCAGACTCAAGCATACTTATATTTAATTGCGATGATGCTATGACAAATATATACAAAGTATCCTAACCACAAGAAATGAACCATAAGAAGTAACATACCTCTTTTGGAAGTGCACTTAGAAAAGCTATTAGTTCAGCAGGATGATCATCTCCATCTCCACCGGCTCTTACTTTTCCTGGAGTTGCATCTAGAACCCAAACCTAGAAAACCATTAACTCAAAGGATTAACAATTTGTGAGTTGATTAAAAAAGAAATAAGGACAGTCTGGTACTAGATGATGCTCATTAAGAACATTCTATAAGCTCCCCTCCTTATTTCCAATATTCAAGATATTCTTTATAAAAATATAAACCACATTTAAAGAACACAAAGACTCTACAAGCAGAATCTACTTACTCTCACAGGTCGTGCAAGTGGTTTAGCAGCCTGATCAACCATGCTCAAAGCCACTGCATTAGTAAAATGAAAGCAATCAAAAGCATGGAGTAATTTATTGGAAGCCCTACATTAAGTGGTGAGCTAAGAATACCTTTTCCACCAAAACTGTGACCAATGACAACCCTCGGAGTGAGTCTGAGTTGCCCAAGCTGCAGAAAAAAAAAATAGGATTCAGACATGTCTCTGAAGAAAATGAGAGAAATGAGCTTTGTATTGATGAACTAAATTTCTGTTCCTAATTACAATGAATCTACACATGTATGAGCACAGCTAAGTAACAACTCAAACTAGGGCTACAGAAATTTCAACAGCGTCATATTAATATAAGTATTCAAGTTAGTTTCTTAAGTGAAAGAGAGATTGCATGAACAGAAACAACCCCACACAATTGGCAAAATGTCAAATGCACAAACAAAATTAATACCCTTTCCGTCCCTAAATGATTTACACATTTTACTATTCAAAAATCGTGGTAACTTTTGTTTATTAGTGTGTTTTGAATTCTTGATTGACTATTTGATGATATAAAATATTCTTGTCACCTCTTATTTTGTAGAACTTTTGATGTACTTTTTAAATATGTACGTTTTATTTTTTTATTTAATTACCAATCTTTAAATAAAATGAATTGAAAAAACTTGGGATTTCACTTCGTTTTGCGTAAAATGTAAATGATTTAGAGACGGAGGGAGTATAAGGTAACTAAAGAATCAAGAGTCATGATAGCAAATGAGTAATCAGCAAGGCAGCATTGCACAGTGAGAATCTCATACTAGTTTTAAGACATCCAGTGCAGCTGAGGCTACAGTATGTGGTTTCTTCTTTTCGATAGACGTTGAATCACCATGGCACCTCAAGTCTACCAAGATAAACTGATAAACTGAATGCATTAGCAATGTATCTTCCACGATTACACAGAATAATGAAAAATTCAAAATAATTAGCAGACTTTAAAAAATTGTCACCTGCCATTTTGGAAATTCTTTGGTCAATCTGCGAGCAAAGCTTCCTGATACAAAGTTTGTAGCCAAACATATAAATAATATTGATATGCTAAGGTGTGTTTCAGAAAGGTAAAAAATATTTCATACAAAATACGAAGTCCTAAAAAATAGCATAGACCTTGCCTAGGTGCTAGGCCTCCCTCCCCCCTCTCCCTCTGCTCCTACCCTGCCCTTCTCTCTCTCTTTCTCTCTCTCTCATTCACAGATGTGTAAACACTCCTGCATGCGGATGCGCATGCATATAACATCACACACCCCAGCATCCACACACAACCCTGCATTCCCCCACCTCTAGACACACACACACACACACACACACAAAGAGATATGAGTTCAACTGCTGTAAGAGATTAAATTTTAGTGTGATCACGTATAGGAATCCCATAATAAGGAACTTATAAAAGTGGAAAATGGCCCAAAGTGCAAGTAATAAACTTAACATTGCATCATTGTCACAATGAATAACTTATCTATCCATTTTTTGGGAGTTAAAAACCGTGAAAAAAATGGGAAGGAATGCATACAACATGTTCTTGTTAACTTCTTTATCCATACTGCTTATAGGCAATAAGTTGTCATTTGTCAGTTTGTCATGGCAGCTGAGTTCTTGGTAACTTTGTTTATTTCATTCAAAAGCCTAAGTATGGTTGTTTCTAAGCAACATTTTCTTACTGAAAACATTCAACTGAAGATTAAACGAGCTGCATTTAGATTGAGTGAAATGCTTCCTCACCCCAATTTTTCCTGCTACCCAAAATACCATGCAAAAGAACTGCAGTTGGTGGTTCAGGCAAGGATTTAGCCATGATATAGCTCCATTTCACCTATTCCCCAGATGTTCACCAATACAATCACATATATGAAAACAAACATCAGATTTTTACTAATATGATGACACTTAACTAGATAAACAAAATTAGCCTAGAACCAAATAGTAATAGGGATTGAATATCTAGCGCAAAAGTATATAGTTCTTACTTTGGACCCTTGAACAAGATCATATGCCTGCATACAGAAATCATATTGTCAATTCGTTGCTTTAGACACAAGAATTAAGAATATAATAAAAATAATAATATATATTTTAAAAATCAAGTAAAAATGAATTGAAGTAGAAACGGGGAGACGAGATACCAATACATCAGATGGCACTAGAACTTTTCTTTGTGCAGGTCTCTCATCTACCAATGTCATCTGAATACTCGAGCCATTATTTTTCCTTCTAGAATGCCTAAGAGCTACCTGGTAATGGTGGAATGTGGCAAATTATAGACTATGTTATTATAGACTAACACCAGAATATGATTAACTACTGCATAGATGCCTAGAGGTATGTATTTATGGAGACACACCCATTTCCAAAATTTGAAGAATTTGGTTTATGGTTCATTATAACCAGGGAAAGCAGTATGAGAATGGAGGAAACCAGATAAATGTTAGAAAAATGAAGCCAAACGGGCTTAGGGGCGGCAATATTCAGGCTTAAATAATAAATATCACAGTGATCCAATAACAGTTTCGGACATTACGAAATGGAAATGCATTCTACCAAATGCTTGTTTGATGAGTGTTTGGTGAAGCTTAAACATGATTCAAATTTGATACCTCCAAACATCACAACCCCCCCCCTCCCTTTCCTAAATAGGGGTGTATGGATATCTCCCGAATTTGGGAGATATTGATTTTGGGGGTTTGACATCTACCTTAACCGTCAATCACCCTCTACTACCGGCGACCATAGTCATCCGCCACCCTTGCTTGTCATTAACAACCATCATTTTAGATATATCCAAACATTTTCATTTAAATTTTAGAACCCATATCATTTTTTTATGATTTCAAAACTCATATCATATCAACCCTCCAAAACTCATCAAACGTCCCTATATACACCAAAATGGTTAACGAGTGAACGAGAACATAATGTCCAAAGTAGACTCATTGAATGGTAATTAAAGAAGTGAGTAGAGTTTTCTAAATAGGTGGGATGTGTTCCAATGTTGGAAACTCAACTCATTAAATTTTCTCTTAAATGGTGGAAAACATTGTGATGTCATAAGGTGCTTTTGACAGAGGATAAGTTATGAACCTACGCGCATTGCAGCAAGCTGGCTAAGCGCGTCACACGCAGGCGTAAAGCGAACATGGGCCTCTATATGATATCATAAAAGCCTTCCTTTTTAGACCGAATTATCACTAATTTTGATTTAATGAAGCAATTAAATCAAATTTACCAAAGGTTAATCATGTGCCAAATTGCCAATCCCATTATTCTAGCTCGACTTGTTGGCTTGTTACCAACTGTGCTAAGGGAAGGTAACTATAGTGGTCGGCCACGCTTGTTCCTTCGGTGACGCCTATACAAGACCACCCCTAGTCTTGATGCAGAAGACACCAAGTAGAAGAAATATAAGCTAATAAGCTCTCTCTCTCTCTCTCTCTCTCTCTCTCGGTAATCTCCCAAGAAATATTTCTCATCAATTACTTTGCCCAACTCTTTAGACGTTTTCTCCTGGAAGCAAGCCGGCCATGTTTAGGGATGGCAATCTCATCTTAATCCAATGGATATTTGAACCACCCGGCCCAATAAAATGGACAAAAACCTTACAAAATGATGATACATGATGGAGTGAATGGGTGACGAATCGGGTTGGATATAGGTATCCGTTTTTTTCTCATCCATCACTCCATCCACCCGCTCATCGCTATATTTGTATTAAATTTTTAATATTTCTACATATATAGTACATATTTGTAAATTGTGAAGTAAGTTGAGGGTTCTTGCATTCACCAAAAATAGTAATGATGGATAATTTAATATATTACTATTGTCAAACAAAATAGATGTTTTATGATTATTACTATTTGTTTTATTTTGATAATGTAATGAAATACTATTAGTAATAAAAACAATGTTATTAAATTCATCCTCTTTGTACCCATTTCATCTGCGGACGACGAATGAATAAGGTGATGGATGGTGTATGCAGCGGGTGATGGATGAGACAAGTGACAGATGAAGAATGAATGGATGGATGATTGTGAAACTTCACCCAATACATACCTAACTCATTGTCATTCCTAGCCACATTGTACTGATGTGGCAGGCAGGCAATATTGTCTTACGGACACCTTCCGGTGACTCGTCTCCTTCAATTTGTTTTCAACTCTCTGTCTGACACTGTTTTGGTTATCTAGAACGCGAAACCCAGAAACACTCCAGTGTCATCTATTACTGCCCAGTTCCGAGAATAACTTCAAGTTTCTTTATTGTAATTTTATTAGATTGTATTTCATCACATGAATGATGAATCATAAACTCGAACAACGTGGATTTTTCTGCATTTGCAAACATACCCCTAAACAACAATTTTAAGACAACATCGCCTCCTATGCAATTGCAAAATAGGAATCTTTCTTGGTTGCCAGTGGTGTTTTCAGTGATGGCAGTGGGATTAAGGCAATTAGTGCCAACTCTGCTGTTCTGACGACAGGCACCGCTTTCAACACTGAATTGATCCTGATTGTCTCTGAGCACAATGAAATTCATCATTGACAATGTGTTGAACATTAAAATAGTGGATTCCAAATCTCTGGTGAACCAAGCTAAAGAGATGCAACATCTCTTCGGTCAGTGCACAAAAAAACATGCCAAAAATACTCCATCCTACCTGAGAGATAAGGTAAAATTATTCCCAAAACAGCACTCCCTACTCAATATTCAACTACTCCGTATATAACTAGAGCCAAGAACTGGAGTATCTTTTAAAGTCTTTGTTTTATGCCAATTGTGTTGCGTTGTAACTTTGAGGTCACATGATCAAGTACAAGAAACAACACTTGCAAAAATGCAGTAGATATTTTCCCTACATTACATCATTGTGGTAGGGTCCTTGTACACTCGCTAAATAGCAATTCTCTGTGCACCTGTTGCTGGATTATATGCCAAAGGCATTCTGAATAAATTTGGATTGAAGCGAAAACATTTTGAAATGGTATCATCTTCAGCAACGATGATAAACCATACCATTTTTTAACTTGTTCCCTTCGTTTATAAAAGTAGATTCATAAGACAAAAAAACAAAGTCGAACTGTGATCATTCAATGTCAATTTGAAGTCCCCAAACCTACGCCCGCCCCATTTGTTGAAGAAACATTTAATACCAAAGACTAAACAATCACAATATGAAATCAATATTGCACATCCAGTCAATTATTGAAATTTTTCCTTAGCAATATACCTTCTCCGCAGATGTAGAAATTTTCATTTTGAACATCCCATGGTTCGCCGGAAAAAATGTTGAACTCTCGCGCAATTCAGCTCCGATCAGGCCCTGCCGGCACGCATTGAAGTTTGATACGGACCACATTTCAACCGGCAATCACCTTGATTTGCAGAACCTTTATATCAATTGAAGATGAATAAAGAATCAATAGAGATACTCTTCAGAGAAAAATTAGGCCCAATGTGGAATGTTTTGGAAATAACGAGGATGCAGAGACTTCAGGAAGGGAAAGAATATCTGGAGGCGGAGAAAACGAGGCTTGCGGGGCGGGTTCGTCTCCCTAGATTTACCGCGTTTCTCACCCAAGACAAAACGGCGGTCGATGTAACTAAAGTCTGGACGACGAGTCGACGACCATAGGTGTTTGTGTTTTAGGAAACAAAAAATGAAGGCCTGCCCCAAATCTTGTACTCCATTTGTGTATCCTTTTATCTGAGAAGGTATATGGTACATCCGGATGTACCTAGATATAAGTGCATTCCGGTAGTATTCATTCTGAAATAAAGTAGTACTCATTCTCGTACAAATATAAACATTCATTTCGAAATACGTAGTACTCATTCTGACAAAGGTAGTATTCATTTTAAAATAAAGAAGTACTCATTTTTACAAATTTGTCTAATATAATTATAATAAATAGTGTAGTGTTCATTCTTTAAAAAAACAATACTCATTCTCAAATAAGAAAATGCTCATTCTAAAATAAGGTATTGTTCAATTCTTTCACAATTGAAAAATTCAGTACCATCATCAAGCTTCTTCATCGCTACCCTTTTAGTCAGATCTTCTTCTATCCGATTCATTCCAACCTCATCTCTTCAATCCCACCTAGGGTTTCTACTGTAAAGCCGCCGCCACCATCGCCTTCCCGCGTTCTGCCATTCTCCATCGTTCTGGCCTCCTCCCTGCGCCTCCCTTCGTCGTCGCCTCTCCTTCGCCGGCCTTCTTCGATCGTCTGCATCTGTCGCGCCTTCTTCGATCGTCTGCATCTGCCACGCCTTCTTCGATCGTCTGCATCTGCCGCTTATTTTTCGCCGGCTGTATGTAGACCTGTGCAAATAAGGATACGGGCTGGATCTGGGCCGGGCTGGATACAAATTATTAGCCCATTTACATGGGCGGGTTTAGCCCGGCCCGCATTTGATGGGCTAAACTCATTACCCATACCCGCCCACCTTAGCGGGCCAAACTACCCACCGGGCCGCCCGGCTCGGATAAAACACCAAAAAAACTTTTTTTGCACAAAAAATTCAAAAAAAACATTGTACTTTTTTTGAATGTTTAAAATAAAATCATCACTCGCCAAATTTACATAGAAAGCATAATAGATGTATTGTTGCATAATTAATAAACTCATCATACTAATTCATTAAAAGAATATTGATTTTTGTTTAAGAGTGGTGAGTGAATTGAACTTTTATACATGAATTACAACAACAACAACAACAACCCAGTTATACATGAACTATAACAATTTTTCTAAATTATATTGGCTAGATAATTAATAATAAAGTAAATATTTTTGATGAATCTGGGCGGGCATGTTGGCCAGGATGGGCTAAAAGTAATTTTCAGATCCGCCCAAATACAATTCGGGCTCAGGCCAGCCCGCCCATGTGGGTATTAAAGGTTGTCCATATCCGCCCTTTTTAAAGGGCGGGCTGGGCGGGCCAAACGGGCCGACCCTTGTTTGCACAGGTCTAGCTGTATGGTTCTTCCCGTACAACCGGTTGTACGATATAATTTGCGCTTTTATCTCCACCACACAAATTCAAGAGAAGGAAAATCAATTAAAAATAAAAAAGAAAATCAATGGCTAGGATCAATGGTGTATAAATAGGGTATATCATTTTTGGTGTACCCCTAACATTTCTCATAATCTCAAGTTTTTAAGTAATTACGTACTTTGGCCCTGTGACGGAAAAAGTTGACGGACTAATGAATTGAAGTCTTTACTTTTATTTTTTTTTTTTTGAAAATAACCCACCTTTCGTATAAAATTGCTTATAATAATCTACCTTTTAACTTACTCCGTATTTTTTAAAGTTAGACCACTGGGTATACTCCTCACGCCCACCGGCGTTACGGGGCGTTTAACGCCCCGGGGGCGTGAAACACCGCCCCCGCCGGCGTGAAACGGGCATGAGGAGCGTTGCGTTAATGTTTTGATGCGGCGTGATGGCCGAATTTTTTGACCGTTCCCCTTCCCAACCCTTCCCAACGGC